AAATGTAAGGAAAGAGTACAAAAAAACATTTTCCCGAGATTTCGTATTACGTCTATTTTTAAACATGTGTTACTATAAATAGAAATGGAAACCTCTGCTTATCATGCTGCATTCCATTGAATGTTCTTTTGTTCTTGTCAGTCACATAATATCAGTTACATTTAATGACAGTAAGTCGGTAAATTTCCCATCTCTAATTTGAGAATTGGTGGAAAATCAACATTAAACAGTTAATTTCATATGTGTCTATTTTTAGACATTTGTACTATTTATAGAGATGAGAGCCTGTCCTCAATAATTTGTGAGATATTATACTATTCCTTGTTCTTATTGATGAAATATTGGAGAGATCCATATTTTTATTATTTATGATTCAGTGGAGCTTCAAAATGATGGAAAATTGACATTTTTCATCATTTTATGAGACATGCCTATATTTAGGCATTTGAAGCTATAAATAGAAAACGGAAATCCCTGAAAATAATATGCATGGTAGTTATTGGTGTCCAGTCTCTCACATTAGCAAATTGACTTTTACAGTATATTTCATAATTACCTAGCAATGGCATCTTAAACTCTGCCCAAATTTGATATTTTGGATTTTTCTGAAATATGTCTATTTTTAGATACATGTTACTGAAAATAGCATTGAGATCCCACACCAATTTTTTCATGAGGGGACACTACTAATACTGACGTTTGACGACACGCATATGATTTGAAAAATTTCCGTAGACAATTTTTTTTATTTAACCTTAAATTTCTCAAAAAATGCCAAATTTTCCATTTTTCACATTTTGAGAAACTATGCAATTTTGCAGAACCGTTTTCTAAGAGTGGGGTCAATTCTGGAATAACTGGTTATATGCCCTGTATTCTTTAACAGTTGATGTTTTCTTATGATACAAAGATTTATATTTGAGTTCACTACATAAAGATAAAAATGGATTCATATTTCCTCAATTTTCATGTTTTTGTTTGGTCAAAAATGGCCGAAAATGGCCAAATTCAATTGATCCGTCTCCATGGCAACCGGGTGCACATGGGAAACTTCTTACACCATATTTGCTGGTTTTGTACCAAGGTGCACCTGTGGTGCAAATTTCATCAAAATTGGAGATATGTCGTTTCCAAGATTTTTTGGTGCTTACAGAGAATGCATGTTAAAAGAATTCAGTCTTTTCATGAATATTGATGAAGGAAGTGCGTAAACAGTAGGCATATATATAGAAACACATGTCGACGGGAAATCACAGCGACGAGGTATGTTGCATTTTGACAAAAAATATTAAAATAAGGTTAATATGCGTCATAACAGAGAGGACTGTTGATACTGAATACATTAAAAGATAAGTACCATTAAGTAAGACGCTTGCAATCCTCGTCAAAAAGTGAGTAGTATCTCAAACGGCCTTGTTTTCTTCACGCCACGTGTGTTTATCAATCTAAAGTAGCGACGGCGTCACGTGATGGATTTATTTAAAAATAGCTATTTTTCTTTCCTTGCAGGATAATAAATAATTATAATTTGATAACTTTGTAACGCGTTTAATTTTAATGGTGTAATTTAGAGTATTTTCGTAACTTTTATTGATACACAAATTATATCAATTTCTAATCGTATTTTAACTGGCGCAGGTTATAGCGTGAATACTTTTAACAATAGTTATTATCATTCTGATATCGACATGATATATCCTGGGGAATTTGAAATAAAAGATATAGCAGAGTCTTACATTGTAACTATCTGTTTTACATTTGTATATCTTACAACAAAGATACAGTAATGGTATTCTATCAACTAAACTTAAAGATAAACTTTATGATTTTGACTTCTCAATCGTCAATTTCCCTTGCTCATGAAGCATGATATCGTTTTCACCTGCATTCGGATTAGATATGTCTGATCGTCAGTAGAAGTTTTATATGTCAATATTATTTCATAATTGCATAATTGATGTGTCTTGTTAATACAAAAAAACTACATAATTTATAGACATAATACCTTTTTTCTTCAAAATCAGTTTTAATTTATCATTCATACAAGTACCATAAATAGGCTGTAAAGTAGGCATCATAATACGAACATGCAGAACCTTCTTAAATTACAACTCTGTACTAATATGCACACCAGAATTACGTCTTACGATAAAACTAAGAATATACAGTATTAGCAAAAAGATAGCTATGATCCCTGGACTGATTATCCCATACACCAAGGAGTTCAGTTCTCCATCTGTACCTCTGGCTATGTCGGAGAGTTGGTGATTCATTACGTCACTGTTTCTCATATACATGTTACTGAGACCGCTTGCATTTGTTGCTAAATTAGAATTAAAAAAAGAAAAAAATGTTATTTATGTTCCTTAGTTCTCCTGCCAAACGACTGAGCTTGTTTTTTGATAAACAGGCAAAAACAAATAACATCATGCTGAAGTGAAATAGGTATGTCATTTATTAAAGTAAATGACGGAAAAGTAAAACACAGTTAACAAACTGGGGGTCAGAAAAAGGAGGACTCAAATATAGAGTATTACACATCTTAGTCAAAATATTACACAATCTGACCCCCAGCACCATAATGACATTGTAACATGATGTACATAGGCAAAAGGGGGGTCAACCAGACTAGAATAATAATTCAAACCCTGTTATCTTTCACAAGGTACAATATACATGCATTTTAAGTTGACCCCCTTATAAACATCTTAAGTTTGAAAGACATATACAAAATGCTCTAAACTGCTGCCTAGAAGGTGGGAGAACAAAATAACAAACAGCCAATAACATACAATCGCGCAGGCATTCAATTGAACACAACTATGTTTCTCTCACCGCCGAGGAAAACCATATAAAAAGCAACACTGCTTTATGTTGAAAAATCATATGGAAACCTGCAGACCGAAGCAAAATTGCGAGGTACACTAAATAATGTCGGACTCATTCTCAGTAACCTAATACATGGATTTGCCATTTATTACAATGTACAAAAAGTTTACTTTTTCAGTTGGAACGTGCGGTAGAAAATAAGTACTATAAATCTCTTTAAAACCCATTCAAACACTATCAAAAAAGATGCGTAAAACATAACAAAAAAATGTCAACCTGAAAGAAATAACAAGCATTGGTTGCAGATGGGGTGGATGGTGGGTTCGAAAAATTCAGCAGTTCAATAAACCATGCTTTCTCTTTTGGTAAACGGATCAATAATGATCACGTGATGGATAAGATCTTTGCTGATTGGTTGAACCCATAGTTAGATGTAGGAAAAGGGGTAAAAGTAGCTCAATAAACAGAACCGAATAGCTGCTTAGTATAAAGCTATGTACAATACAGACACTGTTATATATTAACATAATAAAATAAGAACATGTCACATAAATGAAATTATTTGCAATAATTACTATTGCTATTCAATTAAATGTTTTCCTTGGTTTTTTATTAGAAAAAAAATTTGAATCTGTCACAGAAAAGAATACGTTAGGTTAAGCAGTTTACGACATTTTGTTTAAAAAGCATAGCTGCAATGTTTATTTCTGTGTCGATAAACAAAGAGGGATTTTTATTTTTTTTTATATCTATATATGTTTAAAGACATATCTTTTGAAATTATTTAGTTTCACACCCTTTAATAGATAAATTGATGCTCTGTTATTGTGAGATTCATTGACAGAAGACCACTGCTAGAGAAGTTCATACAGGAATAGCGAAAAAACAACTGTAAAATTGATAATTGAGAAATAAAGAGAATAATGATCAGTAAATATTAATATGTGTCATTTGATCGAGCAGATGTATGAAGAAAAAATAATTGATTTAGACGGTATAAAAACACTAAAATTGATATACCATTTCAAGAAGAAGGTCTAGTTGATTCAGAAACTTGGTATCTATTTATTGTAAAATTAATATTAGCAACCTTTCCAATATTTTGTCGCATACATTATATTATTCAAAATTACGTATTATCTTTATTACTGTAGACGTACTTTTTCCCACAGGGTCATAATTCCGAGGAATCTCAAAGTTTAATTCGTGGGTTGAAATTTACGCAGATTTCTTTCACTGTCACTGTATTTTTTTAATTTACAAAAAGTACGCTTGGACTAATTTCCGCGGAAAATTTGTGACAGCGTATATAGCGCGCCGAAAAAAGTACTTCAGTAGTATTTACGTAAATTTTGTGTAAAAATTCAGTATTGAATGATTGATGTCTGAAATATCATTTACCCTCTGAATTTGTTGTATTTCTTCCACAGCCATACACGTGATTACAAATCTCATTCCTACATTTACAATTACCCTCACATTTCCTGTCAAATTTGGGTAAGGAACAAGGTGTAGAGAAGTTTAAACCATAAAATCCATTTATACATTCTTAAGAACAAATATTTGGTGTTAAAGAAATATATTTGCAATAAAGAACTTAAAGTAAAACCTATAAATTCTTCAACATTCAGTGTACATACCAGTGCATTTATTTAGCGTTTCATTCCAGAGATATCCAAAGCAGGAGACGACAGTTCCCGTTAGTCTGTTGACAGATAATTTATGCAATAAAATCAACACATTTCTAGATACCTTCTGAAATCATTTGACATATTATGGAGTATTACATCAATTGATTTAAGTCCATTTGAATATTTAAGATAATGAAAAGGCATGGCTTACCCAGCACAGCTGATTGAAGCAGTTACTTGCCACATAAATGTAAAGGATGAATACTGGAAAGCGTATCCACTGCAGTTGCTGTATTTCAGAGTAAACGTTGGTTCATTTAAATCACTTTTTAGGAAAAGCCAAGTAATTACCTGGAAAACTTTTTCTTCCTTTTCATGTTGTATTTTTTTTATTTCTAATTGTTTATGTTTAATTCTAGAGCTAGATTATTTGGCGTGCAAATTAATGTTTCTGTACTAAGGTAGGATACGCCATCTTGTTTTGAAACGCATAAAGTACCCCCAACCCAGGTTATATAGTGTACCATAGAAATTAATTAGACTTCCTTTAGCTGCAATATATTAATAATAATTAATTATCATAAAAATATATGAACAGGTTGAAATATATGTTGTAACAGAAACATGTATGTTCCCAGAAAAACACATTTATGTCCGGGATAAAATATTTGCATCCCTCGTACCTGAAAGGTTGCTATTTCCTTAGTTGATATGAAATTAAACAAGGGATGTAAATTTCAAATGTACTGATGCACACACAATTGTTTCAAGCAAAACAGTTTACACACATATTCATGTTTTTATTTATTTTATTTTTGTACACTACTGTTTTTTATAATCTCTAAAAAGAAACAGCATTTTTCATAGTCAGCAGTTAATTTTTTCATAGATAAAATGTGTATATTTACATATTCTATAAGCAATTCTGTAGTTAAAGATAATTAATCTTGAGGTATTTCAGATCTCCATTGATCCTATATTCCTATCACTTTCTTCAAAACAAAATGTGCCAGCATAGATAAATAATAATACGACAGCGACCACATCAAGACCAATGATACCTGCAGCCATCGGGGAAAGGGTTCCTGTCGTTAACCAGAAGTGATTTCTGTTAAAATCTGGTGTAACGATGTTATTGCTTGTATGCTCCTCTGAAACTGTTACATGTCATTGCAAAGTTATTTTTTTGCTACATGTAAGTTGCATGAACTTTCACAAATCACCAAATTTTTATCTACACAAAGCTTTACAAACGTCTTCGTAAAACTGAGGAAAGGGAGATTTATTTAAGCATATTTTATACGACGCTGATCCTAATTACCCTTGAAAACAAAATATTTTCTTGTTTGTTTGTATCTTTGTCATCGAATCAATACTTCATTTTAACTTTAAAAAACTGTTCAAATAAGAAAAAAATGTGTTCATGGGGATTATTATAAAATAATGTATATTTCTAGTGAGTGAAGCAAGATAATAATGAGAGATTGAAATTTTTAATTAGATATTTTTATTTATTTACTAGCATATTTATTTCGCCTTTATTATTTTATTTCTTTTTTTTTTTATTTTGGATGCTGCAAATTTTCATTCAGAACATGATTATGGAAAATTAAATTATATAGTCATGAACCTGATTCAAACTATGAGAAAATGTATCACAAAAAATTGTACTGCAAACTTCTCTTTTGCATTTTCCGGGAGATTCGACTAAAAACACAATAACATTCTTTAAATCTTTTAGGAGTCTTTTGATTTTTCTTAAGGTAAATACCTCTTTTACATGTTTAATTAAGTTTATGAATATATCAAATAATCTGATACCTTTCTGCTACATGTACTTTATGCAATCAACGTTTGAAGGTAAAAATACATTTTAATATATTTAATACAAGTAATTCCTATTTGTACCTTGAACACTTGTTGTGGATATTACAGGAACAGTATTGTTTCCCACGGATTTATCAACGATGATGAGAACTGTAGAACTGTCAGATGGACGTATAAGATATACAATATCTAAAAATCAAACATTAACTTCACTTAACTTAATATTGCATTTTTAAAAGTATTATGTTAGTTTGCTATGTCCTAAGAAAGGCTTTTGAAAGCATACATTATTTACGGGTGTTTTCAAGATTTCAATATTAGATATTTTTGACTCCTCAACGCATTTGCATTAAAATTGTATAAATCTTATTATCTTTAGACTTAAAAAAAACTTTATTAAAAGTAAAGCAGGAGAGAAATATATGTATACTTTAGTAAAAGAAATAATCCTTTAAGATGTCTATATCACACTACTTGTACAATACCTGTAGTGACTGATTTTGTTACAGTATGTTTACATCCTTTTTCAAAATGGCACATATCCTGTTCACATTTGCAGTGTTCTTGGCACATAAACCCAAAATTTGGATATCTGCAACGTTTCTCGCAAAAGTTTCCATAAAATCCGACGCCACAATCTACAAAATAATGTGTCTGACTTTAAATTTCAAAATTCACTCAAAAAAGTATATCATTAGATAAAGACATGAGGGATACCTTGTGGATTTTTCCTACAACCCAACTGATGGTTGCAATTAGATTTACTGCAGTAACACCAGGACTGACAGTCTTTTCCAAAAGATGGGTATGCACAGGGAACATTGCAATATGGTCCATGAAAGCCCAGAGTACAAGCTGTTGAAAATCGATATTACTTGAAATTAAGGCAATGACATTTTAATTAAATGATCTGATTAGAAAGCTTAATCAGGAACTAGATTGTAGTTTAAACATACGGGTACAATTGCCTACAGCATTGTTCCAAACGTAACCAGCGCAGCAAACCTTAGTACCACCCAATCTATAATATATACATAGTCGTAATGATAAGCAGTATATTAAAAAGTATATTATTTGTTCTCTTATGTTTTGTTATTTTGTATTAATATTAAGATTTTAGTCCAAAATATCATGTTAATACATGTTCCCTTGTCAGATGGACTTAAACCTGATACAACTATGAATACACTTACCCACTGCAGTTTGACGAGAAAGACAATCTAATCAGTTTCAGAAATTCTAAGAGAGCGGAGACCATAAGAAGATATCTCATAATTCAAAAATAAATGTTGGTTTTTGACATTCCTCGTCTGTTTAAATATTTTAAGGAAATATTTACATGTAGCTAGCATTTCCTGTATATTACACGAGCGAAAGATATTGGACTTGAATTTAATGGGGTTTTTTCCTGTGCCAGTCGGTCGTTCAATCATTACATCTTCCTGATTTTATATTATTGTATAAAACCTCATATTTGCATGAATATTTCGAGATGTCTTTTATGTCACATTCTTTGTTATGTACTTTTCTGGAGAGAAAATTTGTCTTTTGTCAGATGTTAAAAACGGCTGAGGCTAAGAGTTGATAGCAGATTTAAAAAAAAAAACTTATTATAACATGTCTATGTACCTAAGTTTATGTCGCATTATTTTTATTTATTAATTTTTTTTTTTTGTTGAAGGTCGTGTGTTTCACAACCAGACTCATTTGTTTTAACTGAAGATTATATGCATATTGGAATTAAGATTTGATATGTGAATTTTTTGTGAAAGTCAAATGTATATCTGCTAAAGTGTATAAAACAACATCCCTTCATCCTATATGAAGAATTTTCTTCTATCTAGCGTAACTTTAGCACAAAATATTTAGTTCTAGACCGAAAAAGGTTTCTGACCGAGCCACCTTTTTGTAAAACGCACAAATATACAACAAAAAATTACCTGGATACATTTTAAGACTTTAGATGGGATTAAAGAAAATCTGTCTAGGGTTATGAATGTAGGATGATTACAGAACATTCCGAGATTTCCATTCTGAAGTCTCTGTTTTTTTTTTTCTTCAATTTTAACCCCAACCGAATGTTTTGTATCACATTTAAAGTCTTAAAATGTGTCGAGATTATTTTCGAGGCCTGAATAAATGAGTAGTTTACAATAAAATGGGTCGATTATAGATGTCTGAAACGATTAAATTGACAAAAAAGCATGTTTGTCGAAGCGAACGATGTCATTCTAAAGTAGGTTATTGATTGATATATCAACAAAATACGAACATGAAGCAGTCGTTCCTGAAATTGAGTTTGGTGCCTTGTGGTTAAAAAAAATAGCGTTGCCCCGAATACAAAACAAGTGTCTGTTGTACCAGAGAAGAATATGGAAATAACGAACAGAATTCAATCTCAAAGTCCATAAAACAATACAAAATAAGATCAGAGCAACACAGACCTTCGAAACATCAGAGGTGGAATCAGGTGCCATGGAGGAGAAAACATCCCCTGCTGACCGGACACACCCGCCGTGTGCTCCTTGTCATGATCAGGAAATAACGAAAAAATCCGTCGTCAATTCATTGTATTAATAATGAACTAACAATTGGTATGAAAAACGTCAGTCAGCATTTGATTCAATGATAAATTGTACTTCCTGACAAGGTCATTGTATCGATCATACACTACTAAACGAAAAAAGTGCTGAGAATCCAAAATTTTACTGATAATGTTTGATAATTACTGATACGGTGCTGTTCTTGCTGATAATTACTGATATTTAATGTTATTATTACTGTGTTTGCTGATAATTTTAGTTGTTGCTGAGAAATACTGATATTACTGTCGTCTTTATTGTTGAGTCTGATAAATACTGTTAACGTGCTGTCGTTGCTGAGATTTACTGATAATTACTGTGGCCACTTTTTTTTAGCTAGGAATAAGCAAAACAGAATTAAGGGCTATAAAAACCTTTAATTATTACCTTCTTTTATTTAAATAATGATGACATTTCCCTATTTCTTTTTAAATATTCTATTAATGACAAAAATTAAACACTAATCTCAATTCATTACTAAGATCCTGTTGCGAAAAAACTGACAATTAATTAAATGAAATCTTCATCATTTATTAGGCAAATGTTTTCTCCAAATCTATGAAAATAGTATGATTTATCTGTAAGCTAGATGAATGGATTAATTATTGTATATTTTACTGAAGATATAATTTATGAAATTTGAAGAACGAAGAATGAAGAACTTAAGACCATATCTTATAAAAAGTTAACTTTGGTTTGTTGTGTACATGTCTCCGGCCCCGGGGTAGAAGGGGGTACAACTTGTATATTCCATTCAGTTCAGTTCAGTTCTTTATTCCGTGGGACGTACATCCCATAAGCATCATAAGTAAAACATTGTATTTATCAATTACATACGTAGTACAATAACATGTAATAAACTTACCAACTAGTAATACATACATTTTATTATATAGCTAATTGATTTAAACATTCCATTCGTAATTTATTAGCATGATATATATATTTCCCTAACTGATTTACATCTTTGGTATTTGTACTACAGAATAATTGTGTTAACTTGAAGACACTTGGTCTTCGGGAGTAGTCAATGTGAATTGTAGTGGTCAGAGTAACAATAGGCACTGATCACCTATTGTTCTTCGTCTGCAGCTACCGGTGTACACAATAAACAAACTAACTATCTACACTGTACCTGCTACTTTGAGAAGAAACAATCTTTACTAGTTTTTGAAAAAGAACCCATACGAAAGTTTGAGGCGGAATAGGCACGGCTTGGGCACGGCTAAGACACGGAATCCGCACGGGTGTTTAAAAAGCCGCACGGGTTCTGCATGTCCAAGACACGAACACGGCTTCCGTGACTGAAAGTGAGGAATCCTCACTCACATATTCCGTGTGGAGGCACGGAATCCCTGTCCCAGCTCTGAACGGGGTATAGTTCATTGCAAGGGCTAGCGTACTTCACAAGTCCTTCAATAGTTGCCAAACGTGAATCTGTACACGGAGCTTTAATACCTGTAAGTGTAACAGAGAATTTGAATAATCATTTTTTTTTTTATTTCGTTATCATGTTGTACAACATGCTGCAGGTTTGGCCTTTATCTATGTATAGGCTTCCTCAAGCTTTAAAATTCGTTCAATGCAAATTAGGCCCTATTGCATCACATGGTTCTTTTGATTTTACTTAGTAAGTTATGTGCCTACGTACAACCAAATTTACATAGAGGGTTCTGTCAGGAAATAAAACGAGGTAAATTATTGGCAAACAGGTTGAAGACACAGAAAATATACTTAGTCGGTTTTAAAGTTAAAATTTCGTAAGTCCTATGGTCTATTTACATGTATTGACTTTGTCATCATATACAATTTATCAGTGAGGCAATTGCTGACTGATGTTTTTCATGCTAATTGTACGTAGACCATTTTTTTTTATCTCTAAGGCTAGTTCATGAGATAACAGAAATACATATGTCATGTAGATAAATCAACGATGTTTCCCAGCAGACTTTTAGTCATTTTCAAGGATCGATTTCCAGGGTACGATTTTAGATAATTATACATCTTTGTGGAATGATCAACCAATTTATTATTTCAACATCAGTGAAGCAATTATTGTCATGTATTGCAAATCATTTATATGACATACTCGAATGACAAAGTGAAAAGTAGTTTTGTGAACTGTAACTACACTGTACGTGTATTATCGTACAGTTTGGTTAGGAAATTTATCTGTAAAGACGCATGGTCTATGGATAACATATCGAAGGGAAATCATGTCCATGTATAAAAAATGAATGTTTGCATATTTCAGTATTATTGTATAGTTTCATATACCTGAGTTCGTTCATGCAGAAGAAAAGTGCTACTTACACCGATAGATTGACCTTCCCATTAACCTTTGTAGCATGTCCTGTCTTTGCAATGCAATGGATTGTAACTTAATTCCAGAACATTGATTATCCGTAGAAATTTCAATCCTGTTCTTCAAACATCCAACAATTCTCCACATGCGACTAAACAATGAATAAAGCGTTTGTTTTTTTTTTTGGAATATTAATCGTTCTTTGATTATAATATCGAGTGTGTCATTTTTTTTATACAGTAATAGGTTTTTCATATAAGTTAAATAATTCACCTGTAATTTAAAGCAGCACTGTGCTTTGAGGACTCTACATGTCACTGTGTGTTCCACTTTTGAGCAGATCATGTATATTGTTCTCGGGGTCTGTGTTTTATACCCTGTCCATATGTTTGTATTGTTTCTGGTTAATTACTTTTTAAAGATTAATTAATGTTTGCTATATTTAGTTTTTTTTTCAATTTTTTTACCTACAGCATACCGAGTCTGCATTACAATGAAACTTCTGCATATTGAAGACATATACTTATTTTTTTTATAAACATACAATGAATTTTTGTCTTACCCACACTATAAATCATTTAAATAAAACATTCTCCACGAATTGTGTTTTTGTGCTTTTGTTTTTTTATCAAAGAAACATTGTTGTGAAATTATACGTTAAACTGTTTTTGCACATAAATCAATGCATCATCAGAAAATCAATATGGCTCTTCTATATAATTACTATTTTTATACTTACTTAATTTAACTTGGATCGATAATTAAAATATCATTTAACGAAAATTTAATAAAGAATAAATGATCAGTAAAATACAAGGTTATGGAATGTCTCGAAGCACTGTATTGCTAAAGTAAGGGGTGTTAAGAAAGTTCGTTCCATAATAAAATACTTAAAAAAAAATTTAAGTATTGCTAAACTAAAGAGATGAATTTCCAAGTCTGAAAAAATCAAAATAGCGTGCTTTAGATTTATAGCATTTCATTTCTAGCAGGAATTTATAAGATTTTCTTCCAATGAAAATATATATATTAACATCTTTAAAGCACCCTTACGATAAAAATGCTTGTCATTTTGAAAATAAAGAATAATTTACTTTTGCTTTCAGAAAACCTAATGAGCGTAGATATAAGAACGATAGACCACTTTCAACAGAATAGGTTTGTCATTTTAATTTTTTTTGTACAGATTTTATAATTTTTGCATGGTGTTTGAAAGGAAGTTTTGACGTGTGTGCTTAATATTTGTCACAAATATGCGTCTTCCTATTTTTTCTGAACAGATGTCATCTTTTTTAATACCTGCCCTCCCCTTATTAATTCAAGAAAAGACATTAAAAACCTATTCAGTAGCAAGAACGGACTCTGTAAACATGATATATTACAGATTGTAAATATCTTCTCATCGCATTTCTTTTCCAAAATAAAAGAAAAATTTGGAATGAACATTCCAACACCCTTTATGATGGAGGAAACGAAAATGGCACTTAAGGACAGATGATACAAACACACTTTTGTCAAAGAATTCGAAAATAACAACGTGGGTCATGTTTAAATGAATAAAATGAATAATTTTCACCGCATAGTTTTTAATTGTTCATTCAAATTTGGACAAAAATGGAATTTTAAGTGAAAAATATTTGTATAGATTAATAAAGAT